GATAAAGATAGTGAGACCAAACAAAATGTAGAATTTGAAAATGTGAAAGAATGTGTCTTGTATGCCTATGTTTATGTGGGAGGAAATCAGGTGGATGGGGTGGTTGATATAGGTGCTTCGATTACTGTGATTGATGAAACATTTCTTCTTTCATTAGGATTTCAAGTATATCTTGAGGAATCCAGTAGTCGTGAATGGTTAGTATATTCACAGGAATTAAGGGAAAAACGTGGTAACACTTACATTAATATCCGAACTGGACCGAATAATAAGAGGATAAAGGTATTTGTATGTCCTCATAGTTGTTGTGATCTTATTCTTGGTGCTGACTTTTTGCGAATCATGAAAGCTACAACTGATATGTCCCAAAGGAAGATGAGGATCGGGTGGCACTCTATTGCATTAACAACTGAAGGTTGCTAGAGTTCAGATTAACGAGTGATTGGTAGTACCAGAGGAACATGAACTGATATTTGGGAGACATCAGATAAATCACAACAGAAATGTGGAGGTGTTAACTGCTGATCAAGAAAACAATACCTGTCCAGTTAGAGTGATGAATGAATTACACATAAACATAACTTTATATAAGAATACACACATCGGCGAGTTTCACCCTGTGATATTACCTACATCTGCCATGTCTACAGTTGACAGAAATATTGCAACTTTGCCAATGCAACCTCATTTAGATCGACAGTTTACACATAGAGAATATAATGCATGGATTTCACAGAATCAACATGGAGACCTGTCAAACATTTGAAGGTGATGTTTATGAAATATTCTGAAGTTTTCTCTAAGGATGATTCCGATCTAGCATGTACTAACTTGGTCAAATTTGAGATTAATACTAGCAATTTAAAACCTATCAAACAACCCCCATGTACCATATCATAAAGAAGAGGAAGTTATTAAAACGATTCAAGGAATTCAAATTCAGGGTGTTATCTGCTAGTCCTTGGTCATCACTAATTGTGTTGGTGTCCAAGACAAATGGAGAAATAACATTTTGCATTGATTTTCGCTGTTATAATTTTCACTCGAGAAAAGACAGCAAGCCGATTACTCATATATGCTGAATAGTTTGTCAGAATCAGTTGTTCAGTTGCCTGGATTGTGCTTCTGGTTATTGGCGGATTGAAATTCAACCTGACGATGAAGAAAAAACAGCTTTGTCTACACCATTTCGGTTTTACCAGTTCACTGGAATGCCATTTTGCGTCACAAATGGTCCTGTATTTTTCTCTTGACTTACGCAGAAAGTATTAGCTGGACTTGGTGACGCTTATTTGATCTATAATGATGGATCTGATTGTTCACAGCAAACATTTCAGTGACCATCTTGACAAACTCTCACATGTACATGATAGATTGAGGTTGCTGTTTCTGTTCAAGGTATTTCAGCTAATTCTGCTAAGACAGAAGCTGTCCAAACATGGGACACCACATCAAATATTGTGCTCACATTATCGTCGATTTGTGAAGATTTCTTTGCAGCATCCTCACACAAACGTTCATACAAGGGAGAGACATTTGTATGGACTGCAGAATGTGAAAACTCTTTCTCAAGATTAAAACGATTACTAACAGAAGCTCCTATCTTTTCATACCCCCAATTTGAGAAGGATATTTTTCTTGTCACAGATGCAAGCAATAGGTGTAGTTTTGAGTCAAATGCAAGATGTGACAGAAACTGTTGTAAACACACTGTTAAACACAGCCTGAAACATGGAATGCAGATAGGATGTCAAGAAAAACTTTTTCCACATGCCATCAAGTTTTTCTTGAAGACATTTCTTACGTCAATTGCGTACTGAGTGGAAGTACAATGGATGGACAAACAGAAATGAGTGAGTGAGTTGGGTTTAACGCCGCTTTTAACAGTATTCCAGTTATATCTCCGCGTGTCAGCTAAATGTGGGAGGAAAGCCCGAAATGATGCAGGTCTCAGACGTTTACCACTTCGGTGAAACCCAAGAGCACGGGTATGCTGACAAACCTAGAAACATAATCGGGGCGAACCGGGAGTGAGAACCCACAATCATAGGTTTCTGGCGTATCCAAGGGACGCAACTCTGCACAGCGAATCGCGGCGCCTTAGTAGACTGGGCCACCCGTGCCCCCCAAACAGAAATGAGCTGGATAGACAAACAACAGGAGGATAAAGGTGGGGGAATAAAGGGCATCGGTCAGACTAGAAGAACATTCGCAATTGGTCATAAGAAATGTGAGACTCCTGGTCTGAATGGGTCTTTATGGTAATAAGTGGTGGATTGCATTTTCTGTTACAAAGAAATAATGATACTTTGTACATCTGAGTATTTCAGATTCTTTGGGATGACCATGAAAGAATGGTGTGGTGGTTGTGTTCAGTGTGTAAAAAGGAATGCTTTCAAATCTCAAAAAGCAGCGTTAATAAAAACAACCAGTCCAGTTGTACATCCACTAGGAAGTATTGTAGTTGACATTACAGGCCCGCTACCAGATACAGAAAGAGGTAACTGTTTTACTTTGGTGGTTATGGACTATTTTACAAAGCATGTGGAAAGCTATCCTATTCCAGATCAGAGAGCACACACAGTCAGAACACATCTTGTGTACGGGTTTGTTGGTGGATATGGAGTTCCAAAAAGTCTGCATTATGACCAAGGGAGAAACTTTGAATCACTAGTATTCAAATCTATGTGTGGGCATCTTAGTATCACAAAAAACGTACTAGTCCATATCACCCGAACTCTCAAGGAATGTGGGAGCCCTTTATGAGGACTATGGGAAATATGTTCAGCAAGTATGTTGCCAAAAATCAATGTGACTAGGAAGAAAATCTGCCTCTGGTGACAATGGCTTATAACTCCATTGTACACAGTTCTTCCAAGAGTATGCCGAACTACCTTGTTTTTGGAAGAGAAATTAATCTACCAATAGATATCATGTATGGACTAACAGGGGAACAGGCAAATTTGGAAGAAAAGTTGAAATTTGTGGACGAAATGGAGTCACGGATTACAGAGGCTGATGAAATATTCAAGGAAGAACATCCCAGTATCATAAGTATCATGATGGCAAAGCTGATGCTAAACCATTTCAAGCAGGGGGCAATTTTTTACTTTTTTGTTCTACTGTACCAAAAGGAAAAATGCCATAAACTGTATCTGCATTGGGATGAACCCTATCAAATACTTTACAAAGTTTTCTGTTGTGATCTATAGAATTTTAACCATAACAAGATGGGAGCCCATAGTAATAGACTCAAATTGTGCAATAATATTCGTAATAACCACCCATCTACATCTTCATGTAACCCTTGTGCCTCAGACACTCCTCAACAAATTAAAGACGAGAATTGTTCATTTAAGTGAAAAACAGTACCGGGTAGTAATGGTTTTTGTCTTTCTCAACGGTGAAATGAGTAACATTCTTTTACAGTAATTGACTTCTCTGTGCCTGTGTTACCCAGCAGTCTTCTATTACAGGAAGGGAGAAGAATGAGACGGCCCCCGCCGTGACTGTTCAGTGAACAGTGAACCATGAACTATGAACTGTGAATATGTAATGTCTGTAACATGCATACGTCACAGGCGTCCCGCATACTGTGGCTGAAGGACTATGTTCAGTGAACAGGGAACCATGAACTATGAACTGTGAATATGTTATGTCTGTAACATGCATACGTCACAGGCATCCCGCATTGTCCGTTCTGTAGCTGAAGGTATATGTCCAATGAACAGTGAACCATTATGATACTAACATATCATTGTCTTGTAGCTTTTGTGATTATTTCTATGCATCTTTTATTAAATGTTATATGTACAGTGATGTTTGTGAATGACAACTCTTTACTGTTACATTAATCTTGTTCATTATTGTTGTTAGACAAGTAAAGCACCTATCGTGTGTATGTATATATACATACTTATGTACTTATTCTTTTGTGAGCTTATTTTGACTATCTTCATGTAGGTTACTTGTCTGTAGAATGCATACGTCACAGGCGTCCCGCATACTGTGGCTGAAGGACTATGTTCAGTGAACAGTGAACCATGAACTATGAACTGTAAATATTTTATGTCTGTAACATGCATACGTCACAGGCATCCCGCATACTGTGGCTGAGGACTGTGTCCAATGAACAGGGAACCATGAACTATGAACTGTAAATATTTTATGTCTGTAACATGCATACGTCACAGGCATCCCGCATTGTCCATTCTGTGGCTGAAGGAATATGAGTGAATGAGTGAGTTGGGTTTAACGCTTTTAACATTATTCCAGTTATATCGCGGCGTGTCAGCTTAATGTGGGAGGAAAGCCCGAAGTGATGCAGGTCTCAGACGTTTTCCACTTTGGTGAAACCCACGAGCACGGGTATGGTGCTGACAAACCTAGAAACATAATCGGGGCGAACCGGGGTTCGAACCCACAATCATAGGTTTCTGGCGTGTCCAAGGGACGCAAATCTGCACAGCGAATCGCGGCGCCTTAGACGACTGGGCCACCCGTGCCCCCCTGAAGGAATATGTCCAATGAACAGTGAACCATTATGATACTAACATATCAGTGTCTTGTAGCTTTTGTGATTATTTCTATGCATCTTTTATTAAATGTTATATGTACAGTGATGTTTCTGAATGCGAACTTTTTACTGTTACATTAATCTTGTTCATTATTGTTGTTAGACAAGTAAAGCACCTATTGTGTGTATGTATATATACATACTTATGTACTTATTCTTTTGTGAGCTTATTTTGATTATCTTCATGTAGGTTACTAAAGACGAATTAATACTAGTATTTGTCACTAGAGCTGTTGTACATACACACTATTTTGATATAACACGCGGGCTTGAGTAATATTTCAAAGGGGGAGTAATGTTAAATGTTAAACGTTAGTTCATAAATATGTAACGAGATCTCGCGAAAGCGAGACTCCATTCAAGATAGCGGCGCCCAGCGAGTGATCGTGTTAGATGTCGCCAGTATAACTTGTAACTGGTAAGTGATGTTCAATGTGATAGTATATATGACGTAAGTTATGGAAAGTTGCTGTGTTTGGTGGGGTGGGTTGGGGTGTGGTGATTGAGGGGCGGTTAAACGTTAGTCTGGTTGACAGTGCTGATGTGTGCACACATGTTATCGAATACAAATGTATATAACTGAATATACAACCTTGACTCGAGACATTGTTGTGTCATCACTGGGCTGTAATACGATCTTACAAAGTTGGCAAAGCGGGAGTATCAGTTAAAAATAAAGTATGTCATTCCGCTTGGATGGCCAGTCCCTGGTGTGCTGTTTGTTTGACATGCCCTTTCTGCTTGAGAAATCAGGACTACCCTTAATCTTCTTCAAGGTGTACAGCTACATGTAAGAATCTACGTTTTGACACATTCACATTCACACATTGAGCATGGGAGTTCAAACAAGTGCTTCAGAGATTAGAACGTTTATGATACAGCCTTCATAGAAATTGAATGTACTTAACATTTGTTGATGTGCACTCTAGTCCTCCATCACTTAGAATTATAAGCAGCATATAGTTGTCATATTTTAAATTTCCTGACAGACAATATGCACTCATGGTAAGGGGATATGAAGTCAAACCAAAGGGGCGACTACAACAGACGTCATGTCTGGCTTATTCATCATTTTTTTAAACAAATGATATTTCATCTTTACCTCGTTATAAAATTACATAAACTCTGTAGTTTTTACCGAAAAAAGTATTCGAATAATAAAACTAGTGGCATAGATCCACATCTGACACCAAAACAAGTATTTTTGATAAATAGTGTTCTTTCATAACATACATGTAAGAACAAAGAACTAAAGTTTTAAAAACACTGGTCATGATTCGTTGCACCAGTGACTGTAATTTATCCCAGTAAGCAGATAGGTCTTGTCATATCACGGTATCATTCTAAGTAATGATAGGAACCAGGAACAGACCACGGAGAGGATGATTTACAAGCGCTTCAGTTTGGTGGTTCTTTTGACGGTGCTGCAGAGTGGCATGGGTAAGTAACTCGTGGTTTTATTTCCCCATTATCTACAATAAAACACAATGTGTCATTCATCTGATAGTGACCCTTCACCAAAGTGAATCTCCTTTTGAATATTATATATTAACTGTATTATTACAAAGAATTACATGCGCTTTAAATCAACTCTTCAATCAACATCGAATTTCAAACATGAGGAAATCCGTAAATTTCACACCGTTAGGGATGTCAATAAACATACGTTGGAGTTATTATTAATCAATAGATGGACATGACCTGATAATTGTCTATGTAGTGTTTCTAAGACGTAATTGAATTATATATGAATCTGTACACCTCGTGAGCATCACAATGACTGGTTTATTTGTGATTAGTATTTAATATTCATGATCTTGAATCCATGTGTTGTTGAGATTAGATACTGCATGGCCTCGTAAATATACAATAGATAAAATGAAATTTCTCAAATCTAAAGTACATCCATTTCTTTTCATGTAAAAAACATCTTCAAACAGCCATAAGTAATTCTGGAACGCTGTAGAACAAAGTGTTTAGATATTGAGCACAGGCTAGACATGTTTAGGATCAGTTTCTGCGTGTTTTCTCTAAAGACGTTTAGGATCTATTCACGCAAACGGTACTCGAATTTCATTTCACTTCTTCAAATCGATCAAATCATAAACAGCAGGTTTAGATTTTTACAAACTTTACCAATAGTTTAGGATTTTAATTTAGGAGACAAACATCAGGTTTAGGTTTGCGTTAAGAATATTGATATTGACCCCGCCATAGCCAGGACACAGTTATTTGAGTTCTGCACATGGTCCTGTCGAAGGGTGTGGTACAAGGGTACAGCACATCTGTCGTCTTTTGATCTCGCCGCCAACAGTAACAGAATTCAGTACATAATATATGGATGTAATATCGTGATGAATTGAATTCACAGGTGAAGACTACTTGGTGGCTGTGGCATATAAAGGCAAAGACTCGTACATCAGGTACACAGCTGGAGAAACCGGGGGCCTGGTGGAGATACAGTATCCACACTTCGCCTATAGAACATCCTGTGATCTCTTCAGTTGTAGTTCCCACAGTGTAAGCGAAAAGATGCAAATCACGAACGTTCTAGAAAATGTAGCTATCGTCGTAAGCGGAAGTGACGAAAATGTAAACATTCTGGTAGACGCTGATGGTGTATTCTCTCCTCTTCCCATATCTGCCCTTGGGACCAAGTACATTGTACCTTCAAGTCTCGCACCTAACAGTAGTTATCGATCCTTGCTACTGATAGCTACACACAACATGAGCACTAATGTTGACATAATCTTTCAAATGGAAAAAGGAAGTGTTAACTTTGTCAATTACGAATATGGTGACGGCGATACTCTATCCCTTAAACTTGACCCATATCAAACGTTGATGATAAACACCCCACATGATCTGAATGGTACAGTAATTAACAGTGAACACAGTGTGGCCGTCTACAGTGGTATAGACTTTGCCTCTAAGTACACAGTGTATGACCAACTATTGCCTGTCAAGCACCACGGACAGGAGTATGTTGTTGCTATAGATGAGACCAAACTGGAGCTGCAGATCATCAGTGAACACAGCCACGTGCAGATCACGTTCAGTACCGGGGCCACAGTCTCTACTGGTGAGCGTCGTCTCTATAACCGCTCACTTGAACAGGGAGAGAGTCTTCACTTCACCACCACACACCCAGTACTGGTGACACTCAGTAGAGCAGATGGTTACAGCAGTGTCTTCACAACTGTACCACCTGTACACTCTTACGTCACACACAGGGGTGTCTTGCTTCAAGGCAAAAATCTTACAAAAACATTAAAGATAATAACTGTGAGGACAGCGAATGTGTTGATTAAAAAGAAACAACTAAACGATCTTCTGACATGGATGGATGTACCGGGCAGCAGATACAAAGTTGGCACAGTGAAGTCAACCAGGCGGTATACAGATGAAAATACGTTCATTTCTAGCGATATCCCCTTCACAGGTCTGTCGTTTTATAACGGATCGGTCAATAACATCGGCTACAATTTGTCTGCAGAGGGGGAAGTACACTATACAGGTATGTGTCACAGTTTCCTCCATGATAATGGCATTATGGTTATCAACTTACAACGTTTTGAATACATTGATAGAGGTTTACGGCCTGTGTAGTTAGTACATGTGTGTGATGTGTTCATGGTGTAGTCTAAGGCGCCTATCATTTATCATTTATCTCACATGCCTCACTCCTACGCCACATCATGGGGCTACTGGTCTAAAGAAAACAATCTTAATACAACATTAAAGATATTAACTGAGTGGACAGCGACTGTGCTTTTTAAAAACGTCCGACCGTACAACCGTCTGTCATGGGTGGATATACCCGACAGCAGATACAAAGTTGGCACACTGGTACAGTCAGACCGATATACATTTAGTTCTACGATCATTTCTAGTGACCTCCCCTTCACAGCTCTGTCCTTCTATAACGGATCGGTCTATAATATCGGCTACCGTGTGTCTGCAGTACAATACACAGGTATGTGGCACAGTGTCATCATGGTTATCAACGTACAACGTTTTGAATAAATTGATAAAGGTTTATGGCCTGTGTAGTACATGTGTGTAATGTTTAAAATGTTTATAATATAGATATCTGTGCCAGAGAAGATACTGGTATTACTTCGTCTTTAATTCACTAATCATTAGGTTATCAACTACATAAACATTAATATGCCTTACAGGTGAAAGTTACTTGATGGCAGTGGCGGGATACAATCCCTCCCTCGACTTTCGCCCGCGGATACTCGCCACTGCTGGGGAGACAGGAGGCCATTGGCAGGTACAGGATCCCATCTCCGGGCGCGTCTGGTCTCGACGCTTCAATCCTTACAACACAGACTACTTTTATCCTAATACCACAACAACCAAGGTAGTGCTTGTGCATGTGAGAGATGAGGCTATTCAGATCAGTGGCGAAATGACATTTTACTCACAATTCTCTCCCCTTCCTGTGTCAGCGCTAGGCACCAAGTACATCATTTCCTCCTGTCTTCCCACTGACAACATGTATAGAAGCACAGAGTACAAAGCAGTCTTAGTGATAGCCACACACAGCAGGGAGGTAGATGTTGACATTATCTTCAGATTGGAGGGCAACGTCACCTATGACGACAGGACGTACAGCAACGGGGACACCCTCAGTATCAGATTAGATAAGTATCAGACTCTCTCCATAAACAGTTCATCTGATATGACCAGAACCATTGTTAATGCCACGGAAACAATAGCCGTCTATAGTGGAACATACGAAATGAACTACAATGTCATCGCTACCTACGAGCAGTTACTGCCTGTGAAACATTATGGCAGTGAGTATATTCTCGCTATCCAAGATACGTCTCATTATCGCAACAGTTCCCTGCCATACCAACTTCAAGTTGTTAGTGACCATAGTCACACAAGCATCATGTTTAATAACGGTTCTACCGTCTCTGTGGGTAAACATGGACTGTACAGTAAACAATGTGGACGTTTTGAAACATTTTACTTCAGCACCACAAGACCAACCATGGTTACATTGTGTACTATTGGGACGCGTTATAATTTTGCGCCTGATGGGTTAATTGTTGTACCACCAGTAACCCTCTACTCTAAACAAACAACCCTACAAGCCCAAGGCACCAGGGCAATATTGACAGATAAAGACAACAACAATTTACACGTTCAAGAAATCCCAAACACTCTCTCTACAGTTTTCACTCCCCCGATAAAGTGGAAGGAAGTTCCAGGTACAAGATACAAAGTGGGAACATTACAAAGTGGTCAACACATAACAGCAATTCGTTCTAATTCTTACTTTGCTATCCTTGGATACGATACATTTGCCATATACAACGGAGGATACAATTTTAGGACACATCTTGATGCAGGTAGGTCTTTTCATGTACAATTGTATGTAAAAATTAAAAGCCTACAGTCCTATGATGCATTAATTTGATTTTAGGTAGGTCCTTCAGTTCTTCACTTGGAGTCTACCGTCTCCTCAAGACACATTTCCATGTACCTACAGATGTGTAAGGGTAATTATTTGAAGCAAGAAACAACAGAATCCGCATGGCCATTCAAAAACAAAGCCTGTCATAATAGGTCCAATGCCATTCGGGGATTTCGGGTCAGAATAGGTTCCAAGTACCTAATGTGTCGATATTCATAATAGCAATCACTAGCCTGTTTGGCTGAGACCAGCAGTAATATAGCTGGAATGTTGCTGTGTGCGACCAAAAAAGTGTGTCCCGACTAAACTTGGGTGTGGTATCCAAGATCCGTGACTTCGCTGATTGTTAATGTGTCCCGACGACATAGATCTTTGACTCGTCGGTCACTGGCTACAAGCTGCTGTAGTACAGCAACTCACTCTCCTATTACCATGTTACTTTGCATTGTGTTAAAGGAGTTTACATCAAAATAGTAGTAGGTCCCCACAAACGCAACTTTGTCAATAATATGTAACAATCATTGTGCCTATTATTCGAATGTACCCCACGCCATAAAATACTGATTACTGAAATAAAGTGGCTTTACACCAAGCCCCTCAGCCCTTTGTAGTGTGGGAATATATTAACTGCTGGGTAAACTGCCATACTTGTGTCAGTTATCAAGACAATGCATACCCTGATTCGTTCCAGATGGAAATGGAAATGGAAACAAGTTGACTACAGATGATTCTTTCCAAGGTGAATATTTAATGCTACTCTTTTTCTCGCCCGTCGTTCGCCATCTGCCATATTTATTAACATTCTTCTTTGCTATCAGATTTCCCAAACATATCTTGATGCGGCCATAACAGCAACCCGTTTCTGAGCAGATCATAAACGTCACCACCTTCACAGCTTTGCAATTATCAGTGCTACAACAGCTTTGTGAAACTAGACCAAGGAGTGATTGAATAGCTCTGCCCGAGACACTAATAAATCCCAGACTTTTTTTTAAGAAGGACAGGTTACAAAAGCAAAATTGTGAGTTATATTTTTTCTATCTTCTTTTTCCCCCATATAGGCTGCATTAATGCTGTTGTTTTGTGACCTTGTCTAAAACATGAACACCATAATTTTTATTACACATGCAGGAGCGATAAAGAGAACAATTATATTCATAAAATATAAGACATATCAACTCTTAAAAAATAATACGGCCTTCATATACATTTCCTTATATATTCAACCATTTTCATTTCAGCAGAACCGGACAACGCGGCACTGGTCGTGGAAATAATCTATGGGATTGTTGTTGTGGCTCTCCTGGTCGTCTTTATGGCATATTTGTTCTATACGTAAGTATTTATGTGTGTATAGTAAATGACATTTGCTTCTCAAACATGATGATTCCTAGTTCATGAATATGGTGACAACTTATTACATTCATTTTGCCGCAACGTACAACCATCTCTTGAACTGTGACAAATCTGGTACAAATCTATGCAAATGATCGTCGATAGCCACCTTTTACCAATTAAACAAATATTTCCAAACACAGTGGAGTGAGTGTTGCTGTATATGCAGCCAGTAGCAGCGTGATATGACTGATGCGTGTAAATGAACGACACAGGGTCAGCCAATCTAGTGGTTGAGAGCATGAGCAAAGATACACAAAATGGTCATATATTGTGACAACCCGATTAGCATTTTGGTCGGCTGTTATGACAAACCGGGTGTCATTAGGAAGTGTACTGCCCCAGAATCAACTCGAGGATGAATAGCAAATTCAAGATCACTGACACTACTCGCGATAAGAGTGATCTTGTCCTACCGGTTACATATATATATAATTGTGGAGTGATCTCAGACAGGAACAGATATGTGTAGTAACATAGCGGTACCAGTCGTAGCCAGTAGGCTTGCTGAAACCCATTAATACTTGTCATGAAAACGGTTATGTCTATGACAATGAAACTAATTCATCCACTTTGTTAAAAATCAAACATCATATCAGTGGCAGTAAAAGCTTTAAACTATTTCTGGTATTTGCCAAGTTAAGTATATGATTATCTTGTTGATATATAAGCGCCTTGGTTACTAGTCATGGAAAAAAACAATGTTTTCTCAGCCACAGTTTTAGTTATCTGTCTATATCATATCGCTCAGCCTACCCCAACATACACTATTACGAACACCCCATTCATTGAGCATGCTTACTACATGATTAGTTTGGATAATTCGCTCTCCGTATATCGTCTAACATAGTAGCCGAACCCCTTTCCTTTTCAAGCCCTTTTGTCGTTCTGGCCAGCTTGGGTATTCAAGTAAACCGAACACTGGACGCCTCAGAAGGTCTACGTCGCTACATAAGTGCAATAATCTTGGACGCGACGTTAAACCCCATTTCACCTCACCTCACGTATATTATATATTCCGATTACCATTGTAAATCTGAAGGATACGTTAAGATCTTTTGGATCATATTGTTTTCCATCTGCAGTCAGCCGTATATTCATGAAGCACAAGAACAATACACGTCATCAAATTATGATGATAACCAGGAACTGTACCGATCGTAACATAAGTGTAACATAGGCTTACAATTTGTCAAAAATGAAAGCAAATGCCATCTAAAGAGAAAACAATATGTGAAATGCTGGACTTCCTCATTGATGACATCTCAGTAACATTTGGGATTAAGATATTCAGGCAAGAAGTAGGCATCCCCAAGGGTCACCAGTTGTGCTTTCCTCCTTGCTGATCTGTTTCTTTTGCATGTTTCTTAATTTCCGCTCGGATTGGCAAAGTCAAAACAACGTAGTTTGGTCAAGAAGTTTAACTTAAGCTTCAGGTATATCGATGATCTTATATCGTTCAATTAACCATCAAATAGACAATTCCCTTCCGCTGATTTATCCACCTGAACTAGAAAAAAAGTGTGTCAGGTAAGATACGTTCGCCGTTTCGGGAACACCTGCTTTCATCACTATTTGACAGTGATTCATAAACGCGTGCTTATGATCTGGTTGGAATCGCTTTTGGGAGATTTCTGATGAATATTGAAAGGGTGTTGTCGCATGTATTTATGATAGGGTAGCGCTAAGATTGCTTCGTGGGACGGGCCCTGGTCCCAATTTTAGTCGAGCCTTACGGCCAACATTCTGACCTATGTTGACCAAGAATCCCAACATATTCTTGGTTTGTCAGCACCATACACATGCCCATGGATTTAACCTTTGTGGAAAACGTCTACATGCATAACATTGGGGCGGTGGGGTAGCCTATTGGCTAAAGCATTCGCTCGTCACGCCGAAGACCCGGGTTCGATTCCCCATTTCTGGTGATCCCCTCAGCGGTATTTCTGGAATATAACGCGGCGTAAAACTATACTCTCTCACTCATAACGTAGGGTGTTGTTAACATATTACGATTGTTTTGTTTGTTGCTCAGCAATACTCCAGCTGTAAGACGGCTGTAACACATTTAAAAGTGACGTAGATCTTAAACGTTGTGACCTTTACTGTTTAGTGTTTAGATGCATTATAAAATGAATATATATTTAGATGGATTAACCACGGTAATTTTCTATGTTTCTCTCTGTATTTATGAAGCCGGGGGAGGAGGATGCCAGTTAATAGAGTTGCAGAACAAGATGCCGATGCTCCTTCGAACTCCAACATCTACACGGTTCCTGACAGTGTCGCTTGAGGTGCAACCGAGAGCACCTACACGGAGCTACACCGTCGACAGTGCTGCCACATATGTTAATTTCGACTGCGGAAAATAACTCGAAAGTAACACAAATTCACAGACGTGTTATGGAAACCCATTCTGAGACATTATCATGTCTTATTGTAAAAACGTATATTCTCTTCACACATTAACTAAACATTCATGTTATACTTTATGATCTATGTACAAATGTTTTACTTACCGACATATATGTGAATATTCAGAGGTTATGAAAAAATAGCATATGTCTTAGAATACACACAGATATTTAATTGTATTACATTTCATTTCAAGACGAAAGTACTGCCGCACATAGGAGGTGAATGTAAATCTGCTACAAATTGAGCAAAGAATAAGGCATCAACCAGGACATGCTTCACTTACATAGCTGTCACCAACAACTGAAATTTATGAAACACAGAATGATACATGGCAACATGTTCTTTCTCTTCTGAAACAATCACTTGCCGTGCCCTTTAACGATATTCTTTGATAACGGTCAGACGAGGGAGTATTTATTGAACGGGTTCCAGACCCCATTTGGTTTTATATATATTATCATGTAAAGGAGGATCATTCACAATACCGCTACAACATGTTGATTGTGGAAATGGTCTCATCGCTTTTATTTACCAGTTGATTAAATCGGCATCTATCAAAGGCTGCTTTCACTGACAATAATTAACCAGATTTGTTGTGGAGAAAACGGGTAACGCTGACCTCTGATCATTGGAAAAGGAAGAAGGAATTGTTGAAACAACATTTTTAAGCCTTATTTTAGTTTTCAGTGTACTATTTCACTGACTAGGCTGCAATTGTGAATTCGGTGATCGATTTGCTAGTGTCACATGTGGGAGAATAAGGGCAAACCGACAGCAGTAGAGATCTTATAACTTTTCATTTTGGGTGAAGCAACTTATTTTAATCGTAATGTTGTTTTTGCTGTCATTTTATTCTTGTAGTTTATTGGGTTGTTTAGTATTCAATTACTTGATTACATACATGTCCATGCCACGCCGTGATATAACTTGAATACTGTTGAAAGTGACGTTAAACCCAACTCACTCACTCATTCACATGTACATACAGCTTAAGCACTTTCAATTGTTTCTTCATCTTGGAACTAGTAACCTGGATGCTTTTGACAGAGGGTTTGGTTTAAGGTTGGTGACAAGTGTACACATAAAGTGAAGTAGCGGTTCCTATGAAGATATCATTCAGTTAAGTTTTAAATGAATGTTTAATGTGCTGAGCATATGTTCATTGTAACACAATGACTTAACGTTTATAGTCATTACATATGGTTTTATATATATTTTCTGCTTGTACTTGTGAATAGTTATTATGAGGTTATGTAAAAGGTTCAACATAAGACTTTTCAGCATGCGACAAACCAACTTGATTACAAAACAGTTACATATGGCAGCAGGTGAGGAAGTCTTCATGGAGCCGGTCCCATTTGTTTTTGTATATATTGCATTATTGCGCGGCTCCTTCACGATAAGGCTATGTGGTGTATAAAGCACATCTCTCTAAAAACCCATTTCAATTTGTTGTGGTGAGTATCCTTGACATCCATTTCAGGGGAAAAGCACCGCACTGGGGTTAAATCGATGTTATTATAAAGTTAAGTTTAATTGCAGTTTAGATGTTGTATGTTCAACAATCTATACCCATCTGTGTTACTATATTAATATAGTATACACAGGACAGAGCAATGCGACAACAGTCTCATGCTAGTTTTTACTTTTTCAGTTTTCTTCATTTGGTCACAAGAGTTAGTCAGGGTTTTTTCAACAGTGATTCAATTATGTCACAGTAACCTAATGTGAGAAGATAGCTTTGCGTGATCGTTGAAGATGTTAAGTCTTGACTTTTTTGTGCAGCAACCTTTTCTTGTGTTTGACCATGCTTCTTATGATTTCATTGTTTTTTGTTTACTGACACGATTCAACATTTAAAATACATTCTAATAATTTACTCTTGTAATATATATAGCTTTGTCATTTATTCATATATGCATATCTTTTTATCTGATATACTGGTATCTCTTTCATTTGCGTGAGGCTGTTTCTAAATTTTAAGACCACTTTAAACATTTTTAAATAATCTTGAGGCTTTTTTAAGATGATTTTATTTAGATGTGATGTTTTCACATGAAATAAATTTCAGTAAAGTATTTCATGAAGCTTTGAAAAGTAATGTTTCGTTTGGAGATTTCTGAATATTGATTGTGATTCCAATTTTAACCTGCTAGAACCATACATGTTTCTTATATGTTTTATTTTCTTAGAATAAGCTTATTTCCATCCTTCAATAAACTTCTTTATAAAGCGACGTTGATCATTTGTAACAACTGCGGGGTACTGCAGACTCCTTACTTGTCTTTACTTGTACCATCATATATGCCTGTGTTTGTTCAGGTGAAAAATTGATTTCCCTTTGCATGTGTTTATGACAAGTGCCACCGGTGGGTCTTGGCATCATCACCATTTGATATCAGGACCAAAAAACCGAACTATACACGTTACAGATAAAAACGACACAACCATTTCAATAGTCAGTGTTCGCGAAAAGTTAAGTGCAAAGACCTGTCAATTGATCACCTGATAGAAACAAGGGAACGTATGATACAAGTCAAAATAGGGAATTGCTTTGAACATTATTTTTGAGGCATCCACAAAAAAGACAGGCGAACGCCAACGGATATGTAATTGGGCTCAGGCGAAAAAGTGGTAGCTATGTGCAGTGTGTAAAAGGAAAGCTTTCAAATCTCAAAAAGCAGTGTCAATGAAAACATCCGGTCCAATTGTACATCAACCAGAAAGGATTGCAGTAGACATTACAAGCCCGCTGCCAGATACAGAAAGTAGGTAACCTTTTTATTGTGGTTGTTATGGACTACTTTACAAAGCATGTGGAATGCTATCCTACACCAGATCAGAGAGCACACTGTCAAAACACATCTTGTGTACGGTTTTGTTAGTTGGTATGGAGTTAAAAAAAAGTCGGCATTCTAACCAAGGGAGAAACTTTGAATCACTAGTATTCAAATCTATGTGTGGGGAACTTGGTATCACAAAAAACGTACCAGTCCATATCACCCGAACTCTCAAGGAATGGGGGAGCCCATTATGAGGACTATGGGAGCTATGTTAAGCAAGTATGTTGCCAAAAATCAATGTGACTGGGAAGAACATCTGCCTCTGGTGACAATGGCTTATAACTCCAGTGTACGCAGTTCTTCCAAGAGTACACCAAACTACCTTGTTTTTGGGAGAGTAATTAATCTACAAATAGACATCATGTATGGACCAAAAGGGGAACAGACAAATTTGGAAGAAAAGGGGATTTTTGTGGACGAAATGGAGTCACGGTATAGAGAGTGATGAAATAGTGAAGGAAGATCATCCCAGCATCATTGGTATGATGATAGCAAAGCTGATGCTAAACCATTTCAAGCAGGGGATTTTTTAAATACATTTTTTATTCTACTGTACCAACAGGAAAATGCCATAAATTGTTTCAGCAGTTGGATGGACCCTATTAAATACTTTCAAGTGAGTGATGATTATGGTTTTACACCAGAAATGGATCCACACATTGTACCATATCGGGAATTGAAACCGGGTCTTCAGCGTGACGAGCAAACGCTTTAACCACTAGGCTACCCGACCGCCCCCAAACACTTTCAAACCTTTCTGTTGTGATCTATAGAATTTTAACCATAAGAAGATGGTAGTCCATAGTAATAGATTCAACTTGTGCAATAATATTCGTAATAACAACCCATCCACATCTTCATTGAATGCCAACCCTTGTGCCTCAGACACTCCTCAACAAATTAAAGACTGGAATTGTTCATTCAAGTGAAAAACAGTACCGGGTTGTAATGGTTTTTGTCTTTCTCAAAGGTTGGTTGGTTGGTTGGTTTGTTGTCTGTGGTCTGTAAATAATCGAGTCTGGACCAGACAGTCCAGTGATTAATATCATGAGCATCGATCTACGCAATTGGGATCGATGACATGCATTAACCAAGTCAGCGAGCCTGACCACCCGATCCCGCTAGTCGCCTTTTACGACAAGCATAGTCACCTTTTACGGCAAGCATGGATTGCTGAAGACCTATTCTACCCCGGAATCTTCACGGGTATCTCAACGGTGAAATGAGTCGCATTCCTTTACATAAGTTGACTTCTCCGTGCCTTTGTTACCCAGCAGTCTTCTATTAGAGGAAGGGAGAAGAATGAGACGGCCCCCGCAGTGACTGAAGGACTATGTTCAGTGAACAGTGAACCATGAACTATGAACTGTAAATATGTTATGTCTGTAACATGCATACGTCACAGGCATCCCGCATTGTCCATTCTGTGGCTTAAGGAATATGAGTGAATGAGTGAGTTGGGTTTAAAGCTTTTAACATTATTCCAGTTATATTGCGGCGTGTCAGCTTAATGTGGGAGGAAAGCCCGAAGTGATGCAGGTCTCAGACGTTTTCCACTTTGGTGAAACCCACGAGCACGGGTATGGTGCTGACAAACCTTGAAACATAATCGGGGCAAACCGGGATTCGAACCCACAATCATTGGTTTCTGGCGTGTCCAAGGGACGCAAATCTGCACAGCGAATCGCGGCGCCTTAGACGACTGGGCCACCCGTGCCCCCCTGAAGGTATATGTCCAATGAACAGTGAACCATTATGATACTAACATATCAGTGTCTTGTAGCTTTTGTGATTATTTCTATGCATCTTTTATTAAATGTTATATGTACAGTGATGTTTCTGAATGCGAACTTTTTACTGTTACATTAATCTTGTTCATTATTGTTGTTAGACAAGTAAAGCACCTATTGTGTGTATGTATATATACATACTTATGTACTTATTCTTTTGTGAGCTTATTTTGATTATCTTCATGTAGGTTACTAAAGACAAATTAATACTAGTATTTGTCACTAGAGCTGTTGTACATACACCCTTTTTTGATATAACACGCGGGCGTGAGTAATATTTCAAAGGGGGAGTGATGTTAAAGTGAGTGAGTGAGTATGGTTTTACGCCGCTTTTAGCAATATTCCAGCAATATCACGGCGGGGGACACCAGAAATGATCTTCACACACTGTACCCATGTCGGGAATCGAACCCGGATTTTCGGCGTGACGAGCGGACGCTTTAACCACTAGGCTACCCGATCGCCCCAGTAATGTTAAATGTTAAACGTTAGTTCATAAATATATAACGAGATCTCGCGAGAGCGAGACTCAATTAGCGGCGTCCAGCGAGTGATCGTGTTAGATGTCGCCAGTATAACTTGTAACTGGTAAGTAATGTTCAATGTGATAGTATATATGACGTAAGGTATGGAAAGTTGCTGTGTTTGGTGGGGTGGGGTGTGGTGATTGAGGGGCGGTTAAACGTTAGCCTGGTTGACAGTGCTGATGTGTGCACACATGTTATCGAATATATAACTGAATATACAACCTTGACTCAAGACATTGTTGTGTAACCACTTGGCCGTATTACGATCTAACAAAGTGGGCAAAGCGGAAGTATCAGTTAAAAAATAAAGTATGTCATTCCGCTTGGATGGCCAGTCCCTGGTGTGTTGTTTGTTTGACATGCTCTTTCTGCTTGAGAAATCTGGACTACCCTTAATCTTCTTCAAGGTGTACAGCTACATGTAAGAATCTGCGTTTTGACATATTCACATTAACATATTCAACATTTGAGTTCAAAGAAGTACTTCAGATAAAAGAACGTTCGTGATATAGCCTTCATACAATTATATGTACTTAACATTCGTTGTTGTGCACTCATGTCCTCCATAATTTGGTATCACTAGCAGCATATAGTTGTCATATTTTTATTATCATGACAGACAATGTGCACTTATGGTATGGTGATATAAAGTCAACCCAATGGGGCGACAACAACAGAAGTCATGTTTGGCTTATTAATCGAACCAGCCGATTCATGGAACAATTTGTTTTGAAGCAAATGATATTTCATCTTTTCCTTGTTATAATATGGCATAAACTATGTATTTTTTACCGAAATAAAGAGAAAAAAGTATTCGAATAATATAATTAAAATGGGGACATAGATCCATATCTGACACAAAAACAACTATTGTTGATAAATAGTGTTCTTAAATAACATACATCTAAGAACAAAGAACTAAGGTTTTAAATACACTGGTCATGGTTCTTTGTACCAGAGACTGTAACTTATTCCAGTAAGCAGATAGGTCTTGTCATATCACGGTCTCATTCTAAGTAATGGTAAAATAAGACAACGTTATTAGAGACAACACGCCCATTTTAGTGGGTACTACTTATATTTAAATGGATAAAAGAAGAAAAAAACATTCGTTTTTAGATAGTTTATTAATTAATCGTAAGTGTGAATTGTACTGTGGGCTTCATGACATTCGTACGAATATAGTGCCTGTCTGTTTGCTATAAATATAGATTAATCTAGAGGAATGAAATGAACCTTTAGCTCGCTAACTTCTAATACTCTACAATGTGATTGTAGTCGTGTATGTGAATTTTGGGCCACCAACATGTGCTCACTAACTTGATAGGGCTATAGTTAAAATTACATGTATTTGTTATGCAAGGTATCAGTCTCACTTAAAATCACCACACCATGGGCAGCTAGTGTAAGTGTATATTAGATTGTCAACCAAATAGCATTACATGCTACGGCTAATTGATATAAACTAGTTATTAGGGCAACAATGATGCTGTGCCCAAATCAGTTACCTATTCTGCCCCGAAGCCCCACGGAAAAACGTCGAAAATAGTCTTTGCTTGGTTATAAGTCACCTGTTTCCAATCGACCTACGAGGTTGTTCCGTTGAGCTTCAGTGAGACGTCACAGGTAAAACAGATGATACCAGTCAAAACCACCCCACCATGAACGCGCATTGATCCTATTGCAATGTGACACCTCGGTTTGCCGGCACCTATTGTTCTGGGTTAAAAATTATCCAACCATTACTGACAAGTGTACAATAGAGGAATTATGAGGATTAAAAAGGGATTTAAAAGAGGGCAACGTGACTTTTGTTATTTTATTTCTCATGTACATACAGCATACATTATAAATCATACATGTGTTGATGTATCCACATTGCGGTACTTCCTCCTCTTTGGATCCAAATTTGGAGGAAGTCGCCCACCAGCCTGGATTTGCAGGAGCAGTGACTCTACAAAACACTGTTCTTTTTTTATAATGTCAATGAATTTGAATATATTTGGATTTGGATTCGTTCAACATGATATGAAACTCACGTTTGACACTGATTATACTGAAAATATTTCACCAATTCGTGTCAGCCACGCGTCACCGTTAATGAAGCAGGGTTCACTGGTCCTTATAATCCTTTAGATAAACTTCTAAATTGCTGGCACATTTAATTTCTTATCATAACATTCAGGGTGCCGGCAAACCGAGGTTAAACCGTTACCATTCTTGTTGTTGCGCTTTGAACGATTCGAACAATGACAATTTAATTATTAACTATATATATGAAGACAGCAAGGTATGAAATATATCATGTCTATTTTTATGGTTCGGGTAATGATGTCGCTCTGCCACTACTTTGGGTCATTTCCATAGTATTATGCTCCTTGCATTTACAATTGACCAATCAGCCTCAGTTTCAGTTGAAAGTGTTGTCATGTCGTCACATTGTCATAACGCAATTACACAATATCGGTCTGTTGTCATACCATCATATTGTCATATCAAAATATTACTCTATTACCATGGTGTTCTTTTGCCATATCATCGTATCGCGTGACCATATCGCGTTATGGATTTTTTGCTTCTTCGTGATAACATGTCATGTTATCACCATAACATGTCGTTCTATCCCTATGTCGTGTCACGCTATCAACTTGTCGTGTCGTTCTATCGCTGCATCGTCTAATTCTATTGTTTGGTCATTGTGTTTCGTATTATTGCTTTGTCGCGCGATATTGTGTGGATTTCTCGGAGCGATATGGCGAGGACCCCTCTCAGTGACCATCTTATAACATGTTGAACAAAATGCAGGAGTGCATGAGAACTACCACAGCATGTATACTGCTGTCACACTTCTACGATTCGATTCCTGATCTGGTTTGAACGTTGTTGACTGCGTCGTCAAAGTACTCACTCACAGGGATGAAATAGAACTTCCTTGTAGCCATCTGACACAAACATGGACTTTGAAACATTCTTTCTGATATATTCTCACTAACGAAACAAGGATCCTGTAAAACAAGGATGTAAAATCTTGGTGTACATGTATATGTAGGCCTTATCAGTGACGGGATGTTCTCTCTCTCAGATGCGGAATGATTTTCCCACCAGCCATCTCTGTAGACATTTAGGATCTTCATCCTTTGTTTTGATAGGAACCAGGAACAGACTATGGTGTGGATGATTTACAAGCGCTTCAGTTTGGTGGTTCTTTTGACGGTCCTGCAGAGTGGCATGGGTAAGTATCTCTGTTGTGCTTTTATTACCCCAGTATCTGCAATAAAAAAACATGTATCGTCCATTTGATACGGATCCTTTACCAGAGTAAATTTCTTTTTGGAATTTATACATTAACTGTATTATTACAAAGAATGACATGCCCTTTAATTCAGCTTTTCACTCAGCATCGGATTTCACACAGTAGGGGATGTCAAGTGGGTGAGTATAGTTTTACGCTGCTTTTAGCAATATTCCAGCAATATCACGGCGGGAGACACCAGAAATGGGCTCCATACATTATACCCATATCGGGAATCGTGATGAGCGAACGCTTTAACCACCAGGCTACCCGATCGCCTCAGGGGATATCAAGAAACATATGTTGGAGTTACTGTTATTCAATAAAATGGAGATGACCAGATAATTGTCAATGTAGTATTTCTAACACATAACTGAATGATACGTGAATCTGCATAACTCGTGAGGATCACAATGACTGATTATTTGTAATTAGTATTTAATATACATATCTTGAATCGTAACAAGTTTGCTCTCTATCTTGTAACACATTACAAGTTTCTAAAAGCCGGATTTTACACCATTGAAACAAACGCAAATACAATAGGAAATGTATGCTGTGACCGGCTTTATGTGGTGTTTTCCGATATGAATTAACTTTGGGCGTTTATTTGATATGGAGCTTCAACTTTGAGACATATAATCACCGTGTATTGTTGTATGCACAAGCACCATTGTCCTGAATGCTCTGACCGGATTTTCTGACATTTCCAAGGCATGAAAATAAAAAGTTGATACCCCAGTGAATACTTGATCGAATGCATTCATTTTAATTGTAATAGGTGCTGAGCTTTCCTAGTCCTTTCTAAGTGTATTAGGATTTGAAATATGAACGTTTCCTTAGGTGGGGAAACATTTGTAAATATATAATTTTCAAATGTTTTCAAGCCTTAGAAAGTTATGTATCATTCCGGATATCAAGGGTATGTATTTGAATAGTTTATGCTCATATTATCTGTACTAAAATAAGATGACGATAGGTTTCCAACATTTTAAATATTGGGTTATAATTTCACTTATAGTGAAACCTTTGTCAACAAGGTTCATAAGCCCCCATTAACTTTTCTGTTAAGGTTCTGGTTAAATAAAACACTATTATGCAAGCTGAAACGTTCCCATTAGGTCATCAATTTAATCGCTTCCCTTCACCAGGTTGCCAGTTCTTTTGACAATTGAGTGGGAGTGTGGGAGATCAGGGCTTCAGATAAATGACTGAGCCATTGAGCGTTCACTCACATGTTATAATTCACATTGGGTATTGATTGGGTTTGTTGCGGTATTCAGTGTATTATTACTCTCGTCCCGTCTATAGGATAATTATTAAATATTCGCTGTGTTCATTCCTGCATTCTGATTAGCGAAATTGGTCACTTGTTATTGCATTCCTTTCCTAATGAATGTAAAAACTTAAGCCACGCCCAACGAGGCGCACTATTTTTATTACTGCGGAACGTCGGGGAATCCCAATGTTACCGTCGACGGAATTCCCTTTCTGTTTACGTGTAACGTCATGCATATTCATTATCAAAACTACCCTTTGAAACCGAAGGCCGAGAAGGAATGAAACAGCAAACGTGCAGGCTCGCTCGCCTGTTTTGTCCCTAATCGCTTATCTTGTACAGACCTGACCCCCCCCCTCCCCCTTCCCCTCCCATACCCCAATGGATTATCGTAGAATATACCACACGAGCACCTCGCATATACAGATATACATCAGCACCTCGCGTATACAAATATACATGAGCACCTCGCGTATACAAATATACATGCACGTGCATATGCTCGCACACGCGTCTTAGCAAAGCACTATGGTAGCCTTGACACATTCCATAAAATCACGTTCTTATCAAATATCTTAAAGACATGTTGATCAGTTTGCATTCATATTTAACAATGTTGGGGGAAGTGAATATGATTTAGGTGTGTGCCATTTCACCAATGAAGAGAACAATCTGCAAAATAACGGGACGGTTGAATGTGAGCCACAATTTTTGGGAATAGCTAGACGATTGTTGATTCGCGTTAAACAACAATCACTCAAAAGAAAGAGATATGTTTAATTTTGTAACATCCTAAACAAAACAAACATAACCCATGTCATAATTACTTGTTCTGTTTTTTTTGCAGTGTATCTAATATACTACACACACTAATAAGAGACACGTAATATGGTATGATGTATGTGTTTCTTTTATTTGTTCCAATATATTTTATTGTCCAAGAAGACAAAGGGATGGAGCACAAGTGCCCTACTTATTGCCGCTTCCGAGCTATATACAATTAAACATAATATCTCGCATCGGAAATGAACACTTAAAACTACAAGTCATTGTGGAAACATAGTGCACCATACATACGTACGTACGCACGTACGCACGCACGCACGCACGCACGCACGCACGCACGCACACACACACACACATATATATATACATATATATATATATGTACATATATATATATACACACACACATATATACACATATATACACATAGACACGCACACACACGCATACACACACACATACAGTGCTTCACTCATCACAGAAATCGTTTGTCTCTTTTCCTCATTTGCTTGTAAATATTGTGTTGGAATAAGGATGAATATTTTCCACTGTCTGGGAAATGTCGCCTGAAGATACTTGGATACTGAAATAGCATATGTTGAGTACATGAGGGGACTGCTACGTCATGCATTTCAAGAACTAATATCCTGAGAACTAAATCTAACAATATAGCTTATCTCATTCACTAACAATCTTTACACACTGTAGCCATTGAAGCTGGGGTCCCAGGCAGTGTATTGTGTAGTAATTCTAGACTGTGAGTTCAGATTGTTTCATAACCTGAGCCTTATCACCATCTCATTAGTAATCCAATATGATCGCTGTTATTAAGTAGTAGTTAGCACCTCCTCCCCCAAAAATCACATCACATCAAATGGATAGCGCATATTTTTGTGCTTAAGTCACTTGGACATTGTTTAGGTTCATAAAACTGTTCATAAGAAACATGTCAGACAGCTTTGACATCATTGATGACTTAGTCTTATGATATGATGTAAACATTAGGGGAAATGAGCTCAAGTAAATACAGAAGCAGAGGGTCTAAAATTGCCACAGTGTTAAGCCCGAAAGTCTATTTAGGATTTAAATTGTGATTAAGGAAGTAGAGGGTAGAGAGAGAACAAGATAACAAATCTTAACAAAACCTACCTGCGAATCAGGTGCTAGCTGGTTAGTATCCGTAAGCCTAACAACTGCATGATTCCCAATTGGATTAGAAAGTCACAAACTGTGATGAACGCAGCGCGTGTTCTATGAAGGAAATACAGCCCCCCAGATCTTGTTTACAGAATACACTTTGACTAATGTTCAGTGATATAACTTATTAAGATATTGAAGCTACATGGCCGCCCATTATTTCGAGGAAATGTCCGGGCTACACTTCATGGTTTCGTGCTCAACAAATATATATGAATGTATATGATGACTCATCTTGATGTACTTTAACAATGCAATTCGACAAAGAAGATGTACAGATGCCTCGGCAACATTTTTCACACATGAATGAGTTCAACCTTAGCAGTCAACTAGTACAGGTAAACATGGCTATTAATGCTCATGTGTGTCAGGTTGCCCTAACCTCGCCGTCACATCTGTACATAAACAAGTGCATTGTCTAAACTAGGCTACATATGCATTTCTTCAGCCGTTTCAATAATGCAGTGCGCTGTCACAGCATGCTGTGCAGGTCTGTACAGCACAATGTATTTTATTAGTAATTGGTCGACCCGTCATAAATCATATTTTTGCCATTCATTTCACATATGCCTCGGTAGAATTGAGGTAGGGTTAGAATTTCTGGTCAGTTAACAAGGTATTCTATTTTTTTAGAAAAAGCAATTGTCCGGATAAGCGAGGTTCGACTGTACAGCGCGTGATACATGACAAAACAGATGTGTTAGGACCTGATTCGCACTTGCTGAATGGACCCTGATCATAATACATTTGTTGCTTATATATATATATGTATCCACGTCACACACTCCAAGAACAAGTACACTTATTTGAATATTACTAATATTACATGAATGTTACTGAGCAGTCAGTGAGAGTTTATATCTTTGCGCTTCATCAGCAACATTAAGACTTTCACGTATATTACAACTTTGCGAGTTAACTATCCTTTCCAAAAATACCATAGAATGGTGACAGAAATGAACTTCTACCCCAAGAGATGTGTCTTTGACTAAAATCTGCTTTGTTATTTTTATTTCAAATGATAGCCTTCACCTGGAAGATGAAATAGGCCAAACTAGAATACTTCTGGTGTTAAATTCATATGATATCACGGTCACTTAATTTTGTTTCAAATTTCAGAAAACTAGCCTGAAAAAATGCCTTTGAAAGTATGTCATTCTACCAAGTTGCTTAAGATATAGGGTTTTGCCACCTTTACCGAAAATTGACAAATAATTTACTTCATAACCATGCTTTTTCCTACCATGTCCACATCTGTTATTTGAGAAGAATGTGGTAGATGTAACTGCTAAGTAAAGTTTACACGTCGTTATGTTCATGTAATTACAATGTACATAAAGAAAAAATGCGAAGGTGAAATGAGAAACATTCTCGGCTACTGCGGGAACGACCATGTGGTATTCTCGGAAGGGGTCTGGGATTTTATTGGGAAAGAATAAATTGCCCAAAAGATTCTTGAAAAAAGTAATATGCTTCTGACTGTTTAAAAAGATTGCCTGCCACAGAGATGACATTGTTGCAAGGTGTCCTTCTTTGAAAAAAATAGCTCACAGCTTTAATACAAAATAACATAGTAATAAAGAATATGGGGAGGGAGGAGGGTTTACACCATCCCAGCTCCGGCCCATGATAATGCTTTCACCGGGGGTCTGGTTTAGCCAATTATCTGTTGATGAT